ATGAGGCTCCTGCCTTCTTTCAATTGGTCAAGAAGATGTCCAGCCGGGTGTCTATGGAGCCAGGGTTCAACTACTGCAGAGGCATCTACTGCTGGTGAGTTGGGGTGGGTGTCCTGAGGGTAGCTGTATGCAAGAGGCCCTCCCTAGTAGATGTGGAAAGATCTTCAGGCTGAGGGGAGTAGAAAAATGGAGCCAGGAGCCAGGAGAGGTGTCACCCAGCCCCGGTTCTGTGCAGACTCACACGAAGCCCATGTCTTACTGCACTCTCTGGGCCTACTTCCCTGATTCTCTGTTTCCTGCACTGCAGGCACATAGGACAGCCCAACCAAGCCTTGAAGTTTCTAAACAAAGCCCGAAAGGACATCACTTGGGGTCAGAGGGCCAACTACTACATGGTGCACATCTGTCTGAATCCAGACAATGAGATAATGGGTGGAGAGGCTTTTGAGAACCAACTGACTAACACCAAGTAAGAATCTTCAAGGGGCAGGGGCATGAGGGGGTGGTGCAGCCTCAGGGGTAGCCAGCTGGGGGCTGCCTCTGAAGCCCAGAGCTCCACTGCTAGGAAGGAATCCGAGCAGCAGGGTGTGCGTACTGCGGAGAAGCTGCTGCGTGACTTCTACCCACTCTCGGTCATCGGGCAGACCCAGCAGCGGCTGCTGCAGAGCCTCTGCCTATTGGCCACCAGGGAGAAGGCTAACATGGAGGCCGCACTAGGAGCCTTCCTCGAGATAGCACAGGCTGAGGTACGCTGGGTCGGTTTGGGGGACCTGTGGGCCAAGCAGTGGATGACAGCAGCCAGTACACAGTGACCCCCACTTCCCACCCCCTGTGCAGAAGGATAGCATCCCTGCCTTGCTGGGCGTGTCACAGGCCTGCATGCTGCTGAAGCAGGTCCCCAAGGCACGCACGCAGCTGAAGCGCCTGGCCAAGGTCCCGTGGACACTGGTTGAGGCCGAAGACCTGGAGAGGAGCTGGCTCCTTCTGGCCGACATCTACAGCTCTGGTGGCAAGTTTGACCTTGCCTCGGAGCTGCTGCGCCGCTGCATCCAGTACAACAAGGCGAGGCGGCACCCTGCCTCCAGACGGCAGGGAGGGGAAGTGGGTCTGGAGGTTCAAGACAGCCAGGAGGGTGCACTGGCTTCGGGGACAGAGGAGATGTGGAGTAGAAACTGGACAGGAGGAAGTGGGATGAGAGGTGTGCAAGCAAGGACTGGAACTGGGGACCTGGGAGACAGCAAGGCAGGAGGGGAACACAGAAGAACAGAGGGTGACAGGAGGAGTTTGTCAGGTCAAGGGGAGTCCCAGGGCTTGGTCTGGGCAGAGGGATGTTTGCTGAACTGGAGCGTGTCACTAACAGGCTTCACAGAGAGATGTTGTGCCAACCAGTGTTGGGCTAGCAGGGGCATGGGGTGCACATATGTGTCCCCGGGTCCCTGTGCAGTTTGGGTTAATGTGGCTCACAGGAGTCCCTTGACCCTATCCACTTCCACTCTGGCTCTGGACGGTGGTGGCTTCCCTTCGGCAGGGCCACTGACTGGCTTTCCCTGCAGTCCTGCTACAAGGCCTATGAGTACATGGGCTTCATCATGGAGAAGGAGCAGTCCTACAAGGACGCAGCTACCAACTATGAGCTGGCCTGGAAGTACAGCCATCAGGCCAACCCTGCCATTGGTAAGGCAGCCAGCAAGGTGCCCGTGAGCAGGTGTGGGAGGGAGGCAGGCACAGGACCCCACTCTGACTCCAGAACTCAAGGTCTGTATCCAGGCTCTTGGGGGAACCAAAGGGGCTCTCACCTCCTCAGGATGCCACCCTCTGTCATCTCCTTGTTCCCTGGTCAGGTTTCAGACTTGCTTTCAACTATTTGAAGGACAAGAAATTTGTGCAAGCCATTGAAGTCTGCCACAATGTAAGCCCCAGCAGTGGCAGGGAGGTGTGGTGGCCGGGACCCCTGCCTGATGCTGCAAGTCCATCCTCTCTGTACCAGGTCCTCAGGGAGCACCCCAGCTATCCCAAGATCAGAGAAGAAATTTTGGAAAAGGCCCGAAGGTCCCTGAAGCCCTAGCTTTGGCCAGAGGGGACTTCTGGTGGAAGCCATTAATCTACAGCAGTTTCATGGAGGGCAGGATGTGAAGAAGGAATTCAGTAAATGACATAGTCTTCCATGATTCTATATTGTATGTGGTTTATTTGGAATTGTGCCTCATCTGGGCTGAGGGTATCCTAGAGCTTTACATTTTCAAGGGACAAGAAGTCATTTTGCTCTGGGGAAGACACCAACTGGCTTGGCTTCTGCTGGGATCCTTGTATACTTTAAAAAAATTTTTTAGACAAGCTGGCCTCAAACTCAGTATAAAACCCCGGCTGGCCTCAAACTCTCTGCAGTCCTCTTGCCTCAGCCTCCCAAGTGCTGGGTTACAGGTGTGCGCCATCCCACCCAACTCCTTGGCTGCTTCTACTAGGCCTCACTTTAGGGCAGACTCTTAAGGGAATAGAGGGGAACAAAGGGTAGTGCAACTTTTAAATGCCTCCCTCTCCTGTCTAGTCCCATCAGCCTGGAGCCAAAGAAACAACTGCTTCTTCTTGCCGTGCTACCTGCTGTGTCTCCCCCCACAGTCGGCTCAGGATGCTCTGGGCCGTGGGCCAAGATGGGAGGACCAGCTCCAGAAGGTCCCCAGAGTTACGGCCCTGTGTGAGAGAGGTCCACTGCCACTTGTACATATATTCTGTCTGCACCCCATCCTCCCATTCACCTGGTCCTCACCAGTTTGGGACAAACTGAATTATGCTTTCCTGAAACAGGGAAATACATTCCAAGAAAAAATACTTCTCATGTTAGCTTTTTTAAAAGTCATTAGCCAACACATTCATCTTCCATGAAACCCTTTTAATGCTTAAGGAGGCAGATGCAGCAGACGAATGTTCATCACACCTGGTAAGAGGGTGATAGAGGTCACCTTTGTGCACACCTAGGCCCACTCTTCTCTTTTTCAGAATGGTAGTCATGGCCCACTACACCTCAGAACTCTAAAGTGGGAGTCAGGGGACTTAGGATCTCCCCCAAGAGACCTTCCCAAGTCCCCTCCCCTCTCTGGGTCCCAGTGTTCCCATTAGCCTAGATCTTTTTCCAAATCATGGGACAACTCTGCCAGTGATAGCAAATATTTTAAGGGCTTTTTTTTGTGATGCTGAGATCCAATCCAGCCATAGGTTTAGTGTTTATACATCGTGTTTGTATGAGAGGAGAGTAACTAACACAACAAACTCCTGGATTCATAGGTGTTGTTGCATAGGGCCTAACTATTAAGCATATTGCTGTAATTTATTTGAAGAAAAACACTTAGTGTGGGTAGAATGCAAATATGGTAGAGCTTTTGAGTTGTCCAGTGACTAAGGTTTGGAACAATGAACAGATGTCCCTTTCAGAAGAGCGTGAGTTGCTAAGCCTTGTTTTTGTTACATACTGCTGATCACATGCATGCCTCTTGGTATGAGCTGGTGATCTGGAATGCTTTCCCCAGGTTACTGCCATTTTCCCAGTCTTTTTCTATGATCTGCATTATAACCCAGTTTTGTTGAGACCAGTTGAGAAGCAGTGTGTAAAAGGATTGTGCATTTATGCTTTTGTTGCTGTAAAACCCAAGTTGTCTTCATTTATCTAAAAAACAAATAGTAACAACCCCAAGAATTGACCCTGAGGCCCTAGAAGCTGAGGAGACCAACAATCAGGAAGTAAGCAGGTTTCAGTCCTGTCTTAGCTGAGTCCATGCAGTAGGGGCCTGGAGGGGTTTCTAGCCAGGGGACCTAGCCTGCTGAGGGCTGCCCTGAGGACAGTTAGAGCAGTCTCCGCAAAGGGATCTCCAGGCACCAGGGAAGGGGGAAGAGATGGACAACTGAACAGACCTGGATTCTCCACTATCAGAAGGAAGGCCAGCCTGTCTCTAGGGACAGCTGCCCTACCACAGGCCAGACAACAAGGGTCAAGTCCTCTAATAGCCACTGCTGTGGTCACAGGGTCCTGCCCATGCTTGTGCAGACGCAAGAGACAAATACCTAAAGGGTGACAGGCCAGGTGGTTAAAAAGAATTAAACCTAGAGGCAGAAACATGAAAACAAGTCACACATGTGGACCTGGGCTTGCATGTTCCAGGCACTCTCCTAAGTGCTTTGCGTATGTGAACTGAGCAACTTTAGGGGGTTCGTTATTTGCACAGTACTGAGGGAACTCGGGCACAGAGAGGTAATGTGAATGAGTCACCTCCCAAGGTAGTACAAGAGCTAGGATTTGAGCCTGTCATTCTGGGTCCATGCTCATGAGTGCACCCAGGACAGACTATCAGAAGTGGAGGATCAGAGCATGAAAAGGCTCTCCTTTGCTGGTCCCTGCTTAGCATCTTCACAAATTTATCACTCCTGAAGAGCAAGGCTGGGCTGCCGCCTTGGAGGCAGGCTGCAGCCTGCTGTTGGGACCACAGCCCACTTGTGCTACTAGGGACAGGTCAGACAGGTCTGGCTGGTGCAGACAGATGAGGTTCTGCAGCTTCCTGTGCTGTCCCCAGGGATCACAGCTGCAGAGCTACTGCCACGTCCAATCACCCTGCCCTGCCCTGGTGTGTGACTTCACCTTCTGGGCCAGGGCCCGAAGGGCTGAGTGTTTACAGAAAGGAGGGTGCCCTTACCCACCCCAAGCAGAGCCCCATCTCAGAAGAGCACCCCACTGCTGTTCCCTACTGCTACTCACGATGACTACTGGATAGGGACTACTGGATAGGAACGGGTTAATCCAAAGAGCAAACTGCTCCATCTGCCCAGCCAGCCTCAGCCAGCTTCCTGCCTCCAAGCTGACTGCCCTGCCTGGAAGGAGGCCCAATCTGCTCTGTGCCCCTCCCACCCCACAACACAGCCTCAGTGTCCGCACCACCCTGCGGGCCGTCCTCTCCACACAGCCACCTCTCGGGGATGTGCCCCTGCTCCCCATCCCACTGATGCAGACCACACTGTTAAAAATAGAGCCTCTTTATTGGTACCTGTCAGGTCAGGTACAATGTGTTCCCACAAACACACAGGCTGGCAAGGCCTCCTGGGCAAGGGGACAGGCCCAGAGCCTGGGTTTCTTGGCACAGACACACAGAAATGAATAAATTATAGTTCTGACACTTAGGGACAATATAAAAATTGATGTAAAATTCAGTATCAGCAAACAAAGGGCATGAAAGCCATAAAGAGCAACCCTCACCAACTGGCCTGTGGCACCTAGAAAGCCTGAGACGGTAGTCCAGAGCATGCTTCAGCTCTGAGGCAAACCCCCTACTCTCTTGGGGTCCCTGGCTTCCACCTCCTACATCCTGGGCTGGGAATAAAGGCTGTGGACTTTGGAGAGGGGACATGGACCAGAGAGCAGGAAGCAGAGGGGCCAAATAGGGTAGAGGAGATTTTGGTCACAGCTGGTCAGCCCAGCCCCGCCTGCACAGCCATCCAGGAGCCAGGCAGCTGACAGAGGAGACCACAGGACTCAAGTCCACCCCTGGTCTACATCAAGGCCCAGGCAGAGCAGGGCAGGGTGCAGGGTGCAAAAGGGACCTCACCCCCAGTACTGCCTACCAGACAGAGAAGTGAAGCCAAAGCCACCTCAGCCTCCAAATAAATTATGAAAATAAATTACAGTCTTCACAGTCCAGAGGCTCAGCCACCCATGGGTCTGGGGCTCAAGGCAAAACAAGATGCCATCGGTGGCTGACTTTAGCCCTGTCTCGCCGTCTTTGGGCTAGGAACACCATAGACCCCCCCCAAAAGGGGTCTGCAAAGCTCCAGCAGGAGCCATGCCTTCTTTCCTGGCACGGGAGGGCCAGGTGGCTGAGTGGTGAAACACCCTCCCCACCCTCTTCAGCACAGAAGAGTCAATAAAAATAAATAAATAAATTCAGTGTTGCAGGAAACCAGGAGCGCCTGCGGCTGGGCCAGCCAATGGGAGACTGTTACCTATAGACCTTAGAGAGCCCCAAAATCACACAAAAGCAGCACTGGGGCTCCTGGGGCAGGGAAAAGGCACCCTAGTCCTCACACCAGCACAGGCTCCAGAGATGCTGGGGCAGCGTCATCGAACTGGCTGTCCATAAAGGGAGCCAGGACCTCAGGGGCTGGCTCAGGCAAGCCCATGAGGGACTCCAGGAAGCACGTGCTGGCATCTGCAGGTGGAGATAGGCCAGGCATGGGGCAGTGTGGGGCCTCGATGCTGTCCAGGCTGCCAGACACTTTCTGGGAAGTGTAGTGAGGACCCAGACTATAATCCGGCAAAGCCTGGAGCAGCTCGAAGGAGTCACAGGAAGACAAGCTGAGGTCCACGGAGCTGCTCTGGCCAGCATCCACGGTGGGTGGCACTGAGGTGTCAGGGAGGCTGCTTTCTCTAAACCCTTCAAGGCCACCATTTAGGAAGCAGCTGGCATCAAGGTTGGCATTTTCATCCAGGATGCCAGACATGAGGTTAGAGCCAGAGTAGTTATGGGTCCAGCTGGCCAGCCCAACAGGGTCTCCAGTACCAAAGATGTCAGCTGGGTGGAAGCAGCTGAGGTTGTCCAGGCTCCCAACACCCCCTTCATCCTCGTCCTCCTCCCTGCCGAAGTCAGCGTCACTGAAACTCAGGATCCGTGCCAGGTTGTCATCATCCACGCCAGGTTGGAAGCCAGGGCCAGGCAGGCCTGAGTGAACAGGATGGTCTGGGGCCTCACTGGGGCCCGACAATGAAGATGCAGTGGAAGAATCGGTCATGTCGCTGCTGCAGCTGTTGTCTCCCAGCTCGCTGCTCACAGGAGGCTTACCCAGCGGGAGAGTGGAGACCAGGGCGGGCTCGCCAGGGCTGGGGGGGCTACCCTGGGCAGGGGCCTCCAGCTCCCCGAGGCTCTCCGAACCCTGTTCCAGCTGGAGGCGGGTGAGTGTGTGGATGAAATGGGTCTGCACGCGTGCCTGATTAAATTCCACACGGCCCTGGGGGTTCTCACAACCCTCCTTGCAGCAGCCACAAGGGAAGGCAGTGTGGTCCATCTGCAGAGAAAGTAAAGGCCAAAGTGAGTACTTTGTGGAATGCAACAACCCTGCAGGCTCAGGCTCCCTATCCCAGCCCATCCAGCCACTGCACCTGGCACTTGATGCCTGCCAGGCTGCAGCTGCAGGTCTCAGGGTCACAGACCCTGTCGCAGTGACAACCACAGTCCTCCCGGGACTGCCGCAGTGCCTGCAGCTCCCGCTTCTCCTCACGGTCGAGCCTTCGCACACCCGAAGCCCGAAGCAGAGCCCGCCGTTGCCGAGCTGGGTAGGGCTGTAGGGAGTTCACTTCCTCCAGCCTGCCACTTGCCACAGCTACTGCCAAGTCCTCCTCCACCAAAGCATCATCGATGGCATCCACTGTGAGAGGGTGGCCACCCTCTGCCTCAAGTAGCCCAGCTGCAGAAGGCTGCATCCACAGGAAAGGGACGTGAGAAGCACAGACATGGAACAGACCCTCCCCAGTGTCCACTATGTGCTAGCACTGCAGTGCGTCAGTGAGCACAGCCAGAACACTGCCCTCGTGGCATCTGCAAAGACAGGTTCTCCTGTGTCACAACCCAGAAGAGGGACAAACCCTCCCCTAACCTGACAGATCCACATCCCCTCCTTCAGGTCAGAGGGATTCAGGCTCCAAGGCCCAGGTGCTATGATGCAGATGCATGGTGCTTCGGGGTTAGGTTAGGACTTTAGGTGCTGCTGGGGAGGGCTCTCCTTACCTTCCTGTGCAGGGTTTCCAGCTTCTCCTCCTTCAAGAGCTGGCGGAGCTTCTCTTGCCGCACCCGGGCTTGCTCCTGGGTAAACTCGGCCAAGGAGAAGCGGCGGCAGGCACTGTGGCGAGGGGCCATGCCCAGAGTACAGCCGCCACGGCTGGGCACGCTGGTGAAGCCCTGACACCTCGGGAAGTAGAAGACGGTGATGCCATCGAAGACTACGCGGCGTGAGTGCTCCCGAGGAGCCTGCTTCAGGATGGGCAGTGCTGGAAGCAGGGAAGGGACGAGGATTAGGCAGGCTTCAGGGAGATGGCGAAGGCTCTCCCCCCGCAGGTCCCCTCGCCGCCTCTCCACGCCTTGGAAAAGGACAGATCTGAACTCTGGAGCCAGCCTGGCTGGCAGGAGTCAGACTTGGCAAACTGAACGCTACGCCCTTGTCAATCATGCTTGTTACCATTGCCCAGTCCACGGTTCATGACAGGATTCATGAGATTAAACATCTTCCCATCACCATCAGCCAGTCCCTTGTATAGCCTTCTACAGTTTGTATTAATTATCTCTATATATGATATAGAAAATAATCATTCAAGCTATCTGTGTGTGCAACAATTTTTGTCTTTCACTTTTGTTACGACATTTCACAGATTTACTTATTTTTGTGAGTCTGCTGCTGGGAACTGAACCCAGGAGCTACATTCCCAACCCACACAACTGAGGTGGAGGGCAGCACTGGGGACGGAACCCAGGGCCTGTACTGAGCTACATCCCCAGCCCTTTTTTAACTTTCATTTTGAGACAAGCTCTCACTGAATCACTGAGGCTGGGCTCGAACTTGGAATCCTTGTGCCTCAGCTTCCCAGAGTGCTGGGGTTAAAGGTATGTACCATCATGCCCAGCTCTGCACAATTTTTAAAGATTGGATAATCAAAAAATACATATTTATCCTTTCCTTTATAGTTTCTGTGTTTTACAGTAGGCCTATAAAGGCTTTCTCTTTATAAGTCACTGATTATATTTTGATTACTAAGCTCTCTACATATTGATACATTCAATACATATACCAGTGTATCTTTATAAACTGGTCAAATATTGGCAATTTTCTATTTCTTCTTTTTGCTTTTCGAGGCAGGGTGTTACTATATAGCCCAGGCTAGCCTTTAATTCACTGCACAGCCCAGCCTGGCCTTGGGCTTACGATCCTCTTGCCTCTTCCTGAGTGCTGGGATCATGGACCATATATTTCAACTTCATATTATTGTACCCAGCTACCCAAGCTTCTCATCTAAAATGTTTGCAGTTTGTATGTTAGTCTACATACTAAAAGCATTTTTTAAGCCAGGCATGGTGACATACGCATGTGATTCTAGCACATTGGGAGCCTGAGGCTGGGGGATCCACCAAGTTCAAGTCCTGCCTGGACAAGGTAAGGCCCCTATCTGAAAGTAAAAACTGAAGGACTGGGAATGCAGCTCAGTGGCAAGGCCCTGGGTGCAACCACCAGTATTGAAAAAAAGAAAAGTATTTTTAAAGGTATATTGCACATATATATGTACATACACAATACACATAAAACAGTAAACAGCCAGGCATGGTGGCACACACCTGTAATCTCAGCACTCCGGGAGGCTGAGGCAGGAGGATCACCATGAGTTCAAGGCCTGCCTGGGCTACATAGTAAGTTCAAGGCCAGCCTACACTACACACCCAGACTCTGGCTCAAAAAAAAAAAAAAAAAAAAAAGATTATACAAGAGAATTAAATCAGAAAAAAACCTTTCCCAGTACATGCAGGCAAAGCACTCTGACAAGAGAGGGTCAGGCCTGGCAGGGATGTGTGGGGTGTGGCCTCCACAGCTCAGTTTGGAGGTGGACAGAGTACACACTGGAGAAACGAAGCTGCAACAGAAGGGAGGGGCAGGGTGAGAAGGCTTCAGGGCCACTCCAATGAGCAGCGTCCACACAAGGCCCAAGTGTTCCTGAACAGGAGGCCCAGAGTGACCACTCTATCATGACAGAGAAGCGGACGCAGTAGGGAGCCATGCTCAAGAACCTGGCCTCCAGAGGCTGAAATGGCTTTGACCAGGGCCTCCCGATTTCCTTTTTCAGGAAGGAAGACAGAGTGGTGGGGCTCCCAGGGGAGAGGACTCACGGGTGAAACTTTGGGGGCCACAGAAGTTCTGGTCAGGCAGGGGCGTCTGACTCCAAGGGCTGCCTTCGTCAGAGTCCCAGGCAGGGGAGATGGAAGAGCTCGAAGAGCAGGAGGAACGAGAGAGGCAGCCAGAGGAGTTAGAGGAGGAGAAAGAAGAAGAGTCCTCCTCCAGCTGGTCAAATTTCCTCTTCAGTGGCCCAGTCATGGCGGGATCAGGTCCTGAGAGCCGGGACAGACAGCCTGGAATGGGATCGAGAAAGTTCTCAGTAGCAGTCCAGCGGCAACAGCAAGCTGACAGAGGTCAGGAGGCAGGCTCTCACCGTGACCATCATTCTTCCCAAGTGTTCCAGACCCTCGCATGGGTCCTCCAGTTGCAGCCAGAAGCTCTAGGGGCAGAGATACAAGACAGCACCTCCCTCTCTCCTGATCATGTGCAAAATTCCACACTCTGGCGCCTTCACCTCCCAAAACCTCTGCCCAGAGACTTCCAGGAAACCACCAGGCCCGTTCCTCACTACCTCCTATACCCACCTACACACACATACACACCCATGCTGGCAAGGGCAGAAGGCAGCCAGACTGACAGATGGGCTGACAGAACCCAGCCTGGCCCCAATCCTTCCATGACAGGAATCCTGGGAGCTGACTCATTGGAAGAGTGATTCACACCGCTCACCTCTGGGTGCCTTTGCGCGTGTGCACCCATCTGCACATCGCACACCCTGCACAGCCCTCATATGGTGGCTCTGCTTCCTCCCTGCCCCAGCACACCCATACAGACCCACCACCCTACACTGACAGCAGTGGCCCTCACCCAGGCCAGGCTGTCTGGGCATCCAATCTGGGAACAGGCTGGCTTTAGCGTTGGCCCCATTCCCAGGCAGGACTTTCCTGAGCTTCTCCCTCCCTGTGGTGGAGCTTCTCAGATTTTCCCTCAGAAACCCCCACATGCACAGGGAGAAAAGTCCCTTGCCTCCAGGCCTAACTGTGACCAGAGCCCTGTATCTGATCTTAAAATTCACCTCTGTCTTGCCTTCCACCAGCAATCTAGTATCTATCCCTGTCTCAACCTCACATATATGGAAGTTATTTTCCACCTTAAAAAAAAAAAACCCTCAAGCTTGATGTGGCATTCTACTGTAATTCCAGAACTCTTAGAGACTGAGGCAGGAGGATCCTAAGTTCAAACCCAGCCTGGGCAACTTAATAAGTCTCTCTAAAAAAATCTCTAACAATTCAACTAACTACCTAAGATGATGCCCCATGTCTCTCCGGTCTGTAGCTTCTGACATGTAGCACTCTAGGACAAGCCTCAGGACTGGCCCTCAGGATTGGCCTCAGGATCAAGCCTGAGGATCTCAGCCCTCAGAAGAAGGCAGCCAACAACACCACAGCCAGGCTGGCCTCATCTGAGTGCAGGGGCTCAGGGCTCTTTCCCCTGAATGCTTCAGCAAGTAAGTCCTTTCTGGACCCTGGGAGCCCCTGGAGGATTCAATCCTGAGGGCTGAGCAGAGTTTCCTTGGCTCTGCTGCTGGGTAGCTTCCCTCAGTGCTGGACACAAGGTGGCCAGGAGGAAGGGGAAAGGAGAGGTCCCAGAGCTGGGGACCCCCATCACAGGAAACAGACAACAGGAAAAACCAACCAGAAAGCTATCTCCACTCAGGTGTTCTTTCCAAACATCCTATCGCACTGAGTCCCTGAATCCTGGGGGATGTGCTGTTAATGGATTAACTGAATAAAATTCATCCTAGGGACAGCCTTCCCCAAGGAGAGAAAGATGAAAATCTCCCATCTTAGCCACCACCAGCACCATCCCCCACCAGGCCCCAGGAGGGGCCTGGGGGAAGAGACTACACAGGTGTTTCCGGGGGTTCTTTCTCAGGCTCAGCACCCCTTCCCAGGGTCAAACCACAAACAAAAACAACTCAGCTCCCAGCTGACCTATGGGCTCTCCCAGGAGATGGGGGATTCACAATCCAGAGTCAGGCATGTATACACATACACTGAGATACTAAGACATAGGAAACACACATCATGGACAAACAACACACATCCTGTGCCCACCACAGTCTCATTTGGGACCCCATGCTAATTCCAATGCCATCTATTGGGTGCTGAATTCCTCCCTAAGTATGCCCAGTTTGAGACCCCCAGGACCAAAACTGCCCACTCTGCATGTCTGCCTGGGCTTCCCCCGGAAACATACAATTCCACAGGCCCCAAACTGAACCCCTTGTCTCTGTTCCCCACCCTCCATGCCATCTGTTCCTCTTCCTGTGTTTCCTATCTTAGTAACAGCACTGCCACCCACCCAGTTGCTCAAGCCAGAAACCTGCAGCCATCCTCAACTTCTTCCTTCCTCTCCCTCCATCTAAATCCAGGCACTCAGTCCCGGGTGTTCACATACAATCATTTAATCCATACAAGGCCACTCACAGACTTAAGCATCCTGGAAGCCACCCAGTATAGTAGTAGAACCTCAGCTTGGCTACTAACTGGCTGGGTGATCCTGTGCAAGTTCCTTAACACCTGTGTCTCCAATTCTTTGTTTTAAAACCTCAGAGGGTTGAGAGGTTTACATGAATACCTGTCAAATTCTCTGACAGCGATAAGTGTTCTGTGATGTGCAGAAAAAGAATGAGCTCCTGGATACACACAACACAGATGAATCTCACAGACATGGTGCTGGGTGAAAGAAAGCCAGAAACAAAATATATGTCCATGAAGTTCAAGAAAAGGCAAAACCAAGGGGTGATGGACACAGTCTGAATAGTGGTTCTCAGGAGAAGGGGCATACGATGGGAAGAGTCATCCAGGAATTTTCTGGGGTCTGGGTAATGTTTACACGAGTGTCTAAAACTAAGAATTCATCTAGCTGTACGTGTAAGATTCATATACTTTATGCCTTCTACACAGGTTACCATCAATTTAAAGTTTGGGCTGAGGGTATAGCTCAATGGTAGAGCCCTAACCTAGCACACATGAAGATGTGGACTTGATCCCTATCACCATGTAAAAAAAAGTTTATTACCCTGGTCATGTTTCTGTCCCCACTGGGGATGAGCCCTGTGGTAGACTGCTTGCCTAGCATGTGCCGAGGCTCTGGATTCAATCCCCAGGACTGCCAAAAAACGCAAAACCCTCTAAAGAGTCAATGGATCTATGCACTGACCTTTAAAAAACTGTCAATAACACAAAAAGAAAATTAAACATGTTTCTGTCTCTACCACTGCCACTCATGTCCCCAGTCTCTGCTCCTGACCTCTCACTCCAGCTGTTCTTTACTCTGCAGTCAGAATGAGCATATTAAACTAAATATCTACCTGCCCTTCCCATGCTTATAACCACTCTACTGCCCTTAGGCTCCAGAATTCTGAGGCTGAAACAGGCCTGACCACTGCTTCCCCTCCAAACTCATCTTGCAAGACTCTTACACACCCCTCTCTATACCTCAACTGAACTTGCAGTTTTCCTTATGGCCACCTTCTGGCCTTTGCACAAACTGGAACAATCTAGCTTCATTCCCTTTCTAAAGTCACCTCCAGAGAGACATCCTAAGTCCTCCATTCCAACCCCCTGCCTCTCTGGTCTTCTAAAATTCCTACATTGAATCATAATCCCCAGTGTGATGGTGTTTAGAGTTGGGGCCTCTGGAAGGTGATAAGATCATGAATAGCAGTGGGGCTTCTTTCTCTACCATGTGAGGACAAAGACAAGTGTCCATCCGCACACCAGGAAGGGACCTTTAACAGATTAGCACTTTCATCTAGGACCCCCCCTCCATGTCTAGAAACATGAGAACATGAGAAATAAACTTTTGTTTAAGCCATCCATCCTATGATGTTTTTGTAATAGGAGCCCAAACTAAGAAAGACAGCTCCCAAAGACCCTGAAATTTCTCCATCACAACCTTATCTGACCACCGTGCAACCACCTCATTGCTTGTCAACCTCACAACAAGGTTAGGGCAGCTGTGCCTGGCCACATGTGCCTGTGCCTAGAACAGGGCCTGGCAGAGAGGGTGCCTGACAAGGTCAGAAGCAGGCAGGCCAGCCTGCATCTCAAGTATCCATGGAGAGGCATTCTTTATGCACACAAAGTCTCAATGTGACCTTCTCCCGCTCCCAACAGTTAATTTAAGGGGGAGGGGCACGTGCCCACCCCCTCCCAGCCTGTGCCAAAGGATTCCAGCAAGAATAATCTCAAAGGGCTGGGGATTTAGCTCAGTTGTTCCGCTCAGTGGTTCCAGCACCTGCCTTGCAAGGGCAAGGTCCTGAGTTCTATCCCTGGTACCAAAAAAAAAAAAAAAAAAGAACAATCTCAAAAAGACGGCTCTGAGGGTAGGAGAGGGAAGTTCAAGGCTTCAAGGCTGCAGGCAGCACCAGTGCAAGTATTTCTGGAGAGTCCCCACTCCCCAAGAGCAAAGGGAGATGTCAAGGGAGAAGGCTCAGGCCGGACACCAGAGCTCTAGGTCAGGGATGTCCACAGAAAGAGGTTACAACCTCCAAAGCTGCATAAAGGGAAAGAGTCACACAAAGACTACAGTCCTGCTGCAGGTTTAAGTGATGAATCCTCTCTCAGGATCTACAGATCTGGAATCAAATGAGAGTTTTTACCTCCTCCCTGATCCTCCTTTGGGGTAAGAAAAGGGAGGAGAGACCCTGGATCTCCTGTTCCTCTGTCCTGCTTGGGGATCCAGTGGCTACAGAGGCAGAGGCAGAGGCAGGAGATGAGACAGAAGGTCTGAGCCAGAGACAAGGAGAGGCCAAGGCAGAAAAAGGAATGAAAGATAGTTAAAAGAGTCCAAGAAAAGTGTCAGACAGTGAGTCAGAGGGTGGGGGAGGGGCCCTCAGCAGCTACCCAGGAATCAAGATCCTGACCATGGCAGTGTTCCCGGGGTGAATACAGCCCCCCTCTTAGGGTCCTGGAAGAAGGAAAAGCAATTCCCAGGAGCCGGCTCCAACAGAAATACCACACCCCAGAAGCCCCAGAGACAAGGACTAAATCAAAGAAAACCAGGCTTCTTCCGAGATCTGACTGGGCCCTCCAGCCACCACACAGGCGCTGACAGCCCATGGGGACACCTCCCCAGCCTACTTGCCACAACTGGCTACACACTCAGGTTGCACTATGTGAATCCAGGAAAGGACACCTCACTCCAGGCACTAAGTAACTAACGACTGTTTTGGGGAGAGGGAGGCCAGCCCTGGAAAAGTCACATCAACTTCTCAGCCCACTTCAACAGTCTGACCAGTGCCCCAACTCACAGCCAGAGCTGATATTAGGGAGGGGGCACCTTTCAGTGCCTTCAACCCCTCCAGGAATTCGAAGAATGTGTCCTTTAACCTCAAAACCCCAGGCCTTGGCCAGTCCTTCCCTCCAACACCTGGGGTCACATGACCCCAGGCCTTCCAGAATTACTTCCTGGGATGTGGGAAAAACACCTCCAGGCAAAATGGTCCCACAGAAACTAGCTGCCTCAGCAGCCCGGAAGCACTGGCACACCCTTCCCCCACCCGGCGCTCAGAAAGTGATCTGAGGGACAGGACAGTTCCTCAGCCTAGCCTCTAGGGCCTGGCACTGGGTAGTTGCCAAATGTTTGCAAGAGGCACTGCTCCTGCAGAAGGGAAACTGAACCTGACAATAACTGCTCCTACCTAAGCCAAGTCCCTTTCACTCACTCATTCATTCATTCATTCACTCACTCATTCATTCAAAAATACAGTAGTTACTAAACTCTAGTTATGTGCCAAAATCTGTGGCAGATATTTGGGTACAAAGGGAGCAAGACCTACAACACTGCTCCCCTGAAGTGTGAGCTGGAGGGTGCTGTACAGTGGGGGTGGTGGGGTGGAGGGATGGGGCAGGAAGGGTACAGCTGGAGGTGGAGGCAGGTTTGAGGAAGGGGTGTAGAGTCCCCACCAGGGCACAGCACCAGTGAGGGGGTTGGGGAGCAGGATAGCCAGTCAAGTGTGGAGGAGGGACAGCCTAGGAAGGGGCAGGGCCAGGGGCAAAAGGGCAGACTTTAGCCTGAGGGCACAGGAAGCCAAGGGAGGATTTAAGTAGGGAGTGACAATAATACATTTGCATTTTTAAAAGATGGCTCAGCACCAGGACTGGATGGGGTGTGACCTGTTGGCTAGTGATGCCAGAGCCAGAGACGACAGAACAAGGGCACAGGAGAAAGGGGGGTGGACTTGGCTACTTGGGTGTGGAGCGGTAAGAAGGCAGGGCTGTCAAGGATTTGGGGGCGGAGAGTGACGAGCTCCTTACTCTCTCGAGGGCTGTGAGACTGACAGTGGAGGTGTTGGGTGGGCAGCGTCGGGAGTGTGGGCTTGGCTGTGTGTGACTGTACTGGGAGCAGAAGTGACTAAGTGTGTGGCTGTGGCGGTGGTGTGGGCATCACAGCACTGCGAGACTGGGAAAAGGCCCCCGGGGAGGGGAAACTGAGGACCGAGGGGAAGTACGTGCAAAGGAGGGAACAGCAGTGCGTGGGAGAGGACCTACGAGTGCCCGCGGGTGGCCGGTGTAGCTGCGCCCCGTGACTCACGGCGGTGGCCTCTGCAGTGACGGAGACTGACAAACAGGTGAACGCACGACACACCCCTCCCCCCAGCCCTCCCCCTCCAGATCCGTGCCGAGCGGAGACCCACTCATCTCCGCTCCTGCTCCGGCCACACAAGGAACTTGTGAAAAGTTCTTAGGCAGCTGGGTCAGAGGGAACCTCACCCGCAGTCGCGCGCGCCCCGCTGCCCGCCACCTGCGCGGGGACATCTCGGGGGCCGGGACGTCGCGGGCGGCCGCGGCGGCGCAGGAGACGGGACGGGGGCCCGCGGCGCCAGCCTTCTGGCTGCGGAATCCGACCCAGGTCCCGGCGCCCACCCGGTGCCGGGGAGCAAACGGCCCGGCCGAGCCGCGGCGCGCCTCCCGCGCGGGACGCCCCCTGCCCAGTCTGGCTGCCGGCCCGGGCTCCGCGCTCACCTGTGCTCCGGGGGCTCCACGACCCGTCTGACCCGCGTTCTGGCTCGGCACTCCCCCCGCCCGGCTACTGCGCTCAGCCGTTCGTGCGGCCACCCTAGTCCCACGTCCGGCAGCGGCGGCGACAGCGGGAGACTGACGGTCCGGTCCCGCCCGTGCTCCGCCCTCCTCGTCAGTGGAAAACTCCGGGGCTCACGGCGCTGACGCACGCCCGCCCGCGGCCCCGCCCCTCCCCGCCCACCCCGCCCCGCCGGCGGCACCCCCTTGAAGCCCCGCCCCGCCCGCGACCCCGCCCCCACCCCGGCCTGGCACGGCGGCCGCGGCCTCCTGGCGGACTCTGACCCCGGGCAGTGCCCCGCCGCTCTCCGCCTGGCCACGCCACCTCGCTGGCCTCGCGCCTCACCTCTTCCCAGGCGCCGGCCGAGCGAGTTGGGTCTTGCAGTCGCCCACCGCCCCGCTCTGCAGATCGGTAGACTGAGGCCCGGCTAGGCGCGCAGCTCCGCGGGGCGGGAGTGGCTGAGCTAGGCGCTGACACGCCCTCTGTCCGCCCCAGAGGCAGCTCTTTGAGATTCAGTCCACTCCGGCGCCCACCCCCAGGTTGTCCAGAAAGTCCACTGGGCCAGGACGGTCACCCGTGGGCCTGACCTTCGGCGGTGCTCAGGGCCGAGCCCCTGCTCCAGCCGAGCCTCTTGGGACTCGGGCCACCTCTTCCCGAGCTGCTGTGCAGGGCAAGTGTGCAAGTCCCAGCCCCCTTCCCCTCGCCGGTCCCACCCTACCTAGGCCTGAGTGACTCGCCTCACCTGCTGCGGCGTATTCAGAGCTAGGCACGCATTTCCGCTCACCTGAACCCCTACGCCAGCCTTCCTGGGCTCAGCCTGCACTGCCTCCTCAGGGAGCCCCACCACCACCACCACCAGCCTGCTCCCGCTGCATTCTGGGTCCTTCTGTTGTCCTAGATGAGGACTACCAGCGCTAGCCCAGCCCCGCGGGCTCCGTGCAGCCTCCACGGTGCGGGTGGGGGTGACCTGTCTGGTCTGGGTGACATCTGGGGTGGAGGCGATGGATAGCGAGGGCCCCTCTTCAGCTGTAGGTGTGTGTAGAGAGGGCCAGACTCGTCCTCCGCCCTTTACCTTCTGGGGAAGAACAGGAGGAAAGCAGGCTGGGAAGATTCAGGCCTCTCCTCCTGGATGGGTTGCGTGGCGTACCTGAGGGATGTAAGCGAGGTGTCTGGGGGTCTGAATCCAAGCTTCCAGGGACTCCTTGGGAGCAGGGCTGGCAGCGGCCTTGGAGGAGTCCTCAACACTGGTAAATCAAAGCTGCTGGTATGGCTGAGGCTGCTCATGAAGGAGCTTTAAGTCTCAGAGCTGCCAGGGCATGGTGATCCACACCTATATTCCCAGCACTCTGGGAGGCTGAGGCTGGAGGACCTCAAATTCAAACCTAGCCCTGGGCAATTAAGTGACTTACCAAGAGAATCTGTTTCAAAAAATGGGGGGGGGGGAGTGTGTGTGGATGTAACTCCTTGTGAAGGGCCCAGGGTACAACCCCCAGTATCACCAAAAAAGGAAAAAACTCTACAAGTCTACAGAGCTGGATGAGAGTCATGGTCTCCCTGCAGCTGCAGGCTACAGACCTTGCTGATTCCAAAGAACCTTTTTCCCTGTCTGCCTTTCTGCTTGCCTCCCATCCCCAGCAGAAAGGGGCTTCTGTGACCTAGAAATGGCATTTTACTTTGGTTTTCTCTCTCCGACTCCCTCTTTCCATCTGTAAAATGGGGACATTGGACTGGAGAACCCCACCTGCTGACCTTTCTTTGACTGGGTTTCAGGAAGATGCTGCTTGCTGATAAGGAGCTGGGTGGCATGGGCACTGGAGGTAAAGAGGGTCAGGCCCAGGCTACCTAGGTTTGCATCCTGCTGGGCTGTGGATTGGAAAAACCAGACAGGACCAAAACCAGGGCAGGGGCTTGGCAAGGACTAGAGTCCAGGCTTATAGCAGGGAGCATGCTGGGTGATGGGTTTGTGGGAGAAGAGGAGGAGAGGAGATTAAGGGAAAATATAAGCGAATAAGTGATATGTTTTCTCCAGCAAAGCATCTGCCTGTCCCAGGATGGGCTCACCAGATGTTCCCCAGATGTTGATGGTGATGGGAAACATCTCCCTGTGGGATCCCAACTAAACCCTTCCTGTTCCTGGGGAAGTAAAGGGTCTGTTCCAAGACCAGGAGGGTGGGGCCTCAGCAGCATCCATCTGTGACTGTGGCACAGATCCAGGCAAACACACCCACACATCAGGGAATTTCTGGCAACTTGGAAGAGTCCTACAGATTTCTCAAACATTTAGCATCCACAGACCACCCTTTTTAGGTAAATAAAAATTTTAACAAGTTTTAAATAAAAATTTTAAGAAATTAAAAATTAGAGGCCTGCGTGGTGGTGCACACCTGCAATCCCAGCACTCAGGAGGCTGAGGCAGGAGTATTGCTGTGAGTTCAAGGCCAGCCTGGGCTACATAGTGAGTTCAAGGACAGCCTGGACTCCATAGCAAGACCCTGTCTCAAAAAAGCCAAAATAAATAAATAAACAAATATTAATGATATGTTCCCATCAGTAAGGCTGAAATGAAAGGGCTAACAATAGCAAATATGTCAAGATTGAAAATTAACGGGATCCATCAGACATTGTTGACAGAAGAGTGAACTGGCACAATAGCTTAGAAAACAATTCGTCAGTACCTACTAAGATTAAACAAAGGTGAACTGTATGACCTCGACATTGCACTTCTCAGTACACTGCACAGAGGAGAGAAAGTGCTTGTAACCGCCTGAAGACCTACACAAGAACAGTAGAGCAGTTTTATGTGTGTGTGAATAGCCAAAAACTGTAAATACACTCACATGTTCACTAGTAGGTGAGTGGAAACAAACTGTGATTTCTCATATAATATAACATGGCAATAGAAAAGAACAAAGCATTGTCTCCAACAATCACATGGATGAATCTTAAAAATACTGTGTTTAGAGGCCAGGATTTATCCGCGCCTGCCTGGCAAGTGCAAGACCCCAAATTTGACTCCTGGTACAAAAAAAAAAGTGTTTAGAAGAAGCCAGGCACACCTATACCAGCCCACAGGAGGCTGAGGCAGAAGGATTGCTGCAGGTTCAAGGCCAGCCTGGACTATATATTGAAGCCCTGTCTCAAAAGAAAAAAAGAAGAAGAGCCGTGGGTTTAGCTCAGTGGCTCCACACCTGCCTCACAAGCGTAAGGTCCTGAGTTCAATCTCCAGTACCAAAAAAAAGTAAAAAAAAAGAAGCCGGGCATAAAAGTGTAATGACTGTTACTTCCTTTATTTATATGAAGTTTAAATGCAGGCAAACTGAAGTTTGAAGGGGTTTAAAAACTGGGAAGGGGCCCAAGAGACCCTGTGGGGTGCAAGAGATGTTCTACATATTGACCTGGGTAGTGAATGGACAGGTAATACATTATGTAAAACTTCAAGTTTTTTTAATTTTTGTGTTGTTTCTGTTTTTTTGCAATACTGGGGATTGAGCCCAGGGCTTCATACATACTAAGCAAGTGCTCTATCACTTAGCTACATTCCCAGTGAAATTCAAGGCCTTTTAAGATTTGTTCATTTTACTGTTTTACCCTGACAAAGCAATTTTAAAAAGCAAAAGGCAGGCAGGCAGATGGGAGAATGGCAATCCTAGTGCCACAGTTCTGGACAGGAAGCCAGCGTTCAGCCTTCATCTGTGGGTCTATATCCAATGGGCTCCACTGGCGAAGATTTCTCTCCATCTATTAGTGTGATGGTCTGGTGAGGCTTCCGGTGCTAACAACAATTCTTTGTTTCTTCGGCCCTCCACGGAGTGAGCATGCAGCAGTTCAGCCCTGACACTCAGTATGTGGACTCCGTGCATCCCGGACAGCTTGAGAGCTTGATTCCAAAGACTGGCCCGAACTTTAGTCACAAGTTCCTGGCCTCCTCTGCTGACAGACAGCCCAGCCATGGATCCAGGCTTCCCTCAGCCCTTCCTAAGGTTCAGTAATTTGCTAGACTGGCTCACAGAACTCAAGGAAATGCTTGACTTACTAGTTTATCATAAATGATACAGGTGAACAGCCTGAGGTGGAGGCACATGGGGCAAGGTTCAGAGGTGCCCTGGGCACGGGAACTCCTGTCCCAGTGGGGCTGGGGTGTGCCCCCTGCCGCATGCACATGGATGTGTTCCCAGAAGCTCATCAGACCTGCTCTTCATGGGTTTCTGTGCAGCTCATCTCCAACTCCCTTCTCCTTCCTGGACATCAGAGGGCAGGACTGAAATGGCACTGGGTCTTTCTGGTGACCCCAAGCCACTGAATTCACATTAACTCAGGTGTACCCAAAAGGGGCTGCTTATAAACAGCAAGATATTCCTGTCACTCAGGAAATTCCAAAGGTTTTTAGGAGCTCTGCCAGGAATAAGGGAGAAAGACCAAATATTTTTCTTTTTTGCCACAGATGGGTAAGAATTTATTGTACCATTGCTCTCAGGTCCAAGGGACTTTATGTTATTTTTTAATCTGAGTTTTACAGTTTTAGCTCTTATGTTTAGGTTTACGTGTGTGTGTGTGTGTGTGTGTGTGTGTGTGT